ATGTTGCAGCCCCTCAGCTGCGGCACAAGATTTTCTCAGGACACAGGGGCTCGTCTTAGCCATTTTGGCCACCACCTGAGTTAGTCCCAAATCATGGAAATTTTACCAGGAGTGACTGAGCACGACTCGGATCCAAAAACACACCATGTGAACAAGGGGTAGGGAAGAAAGGGGGGGTGCTGTTGTTATTTGTAAGCTGCTGCTGTTGCTGCTGCTGGTATAGTTGACCTGCGTCAGAGTCATGACATTGACGGGATCACAATGTACGACGACACCAGTGCATGTGCGAGACCATGACAAAGACGATGTGGGTATGGTTGAGCATGACGAGTCATCGGGATCCCGCATTTGTGTGAACCAGTGAGCTGCACATGCCTACGACCAGTGCGAGAGCAGCATCCATGCGTTCCAACACATTGCTTGTCAATCCGCCCCAAGTCAACAGGATCTATATTTCCACATAGGAAACGAGTCCTTTTTCTCCAAGGTGTCCCAAACATACAAAAATCACAAACAATATCGTGTACGTGTTCGCTCTTCATCAACTGTTGAAGAGGAGGCAAATACCACACTTTTGAGGTGTAGGGGTTCTCAAGTATCCAAGGCAGTCTCCATGAGTCAAGCCATGAAATAATCTTGAGGGTAGACCGTATACAGCAATTACCAACACGTATCTTGTCTTGTTCATGAGGAGGAAGGTCAGGGAGGCCCCAAGGAAAAAGTTTGCTTCTGATAACCATGGTTCTGTCTCGTGCCACACTGAAGGATGAACATGGAGGCGCCAGCATAGCTGCAATGATACGACCTTTGTCGATGTCAAACTTTACACTCTGCAGCACAGCTGGACGGGTGAGATCAGCATCAGGCCCCGTGAGGATTTCCCACTCTCTACATGTGAAGCCAGCACGTCTGACTGCCCGTGCAACTCTTCCAGAACCAGCAAAAAAGTCTGCCACATACTGACCCTTCACTCCCCACTTGGGAGTGGAATGTGGGGGTAATCGAGGCCGAGTACGATTTCTCGCAAAAAACGCTCTGCCGACCTGCAAGCCATCTGGGTTGAAGGGGATAGGAGGTTCCAACTTGCTGCCAGCCTCCCTCCCTTCTCGTACCAAGTCACACTCTTCCGGCTTGCCCAGTTTCCGCGCTTGCGAATCTCCTCGAGAGTCCTCAGTTTCGCAGCATAGTCTATGCTTGGTCCCGAATGTCTGGCTTGGTACGGAACAACTTCGACCTTCAAGTCCTTGGCGCATTGATTGAACACTTCCAGGTATTCCGGGTACGTGAAAGTCCAGACAGGAGCCAAAGGAGGTCCCTTGGCTAGACGTCGCAGCACCGGCTCTATGAAGTCCAGAAAAGGTGAATCCAGAAGCACCGCATCGTCTTTCGTCCCAGTCTTTGATATGTCTGAAGTCTCTGTCAACGAAGTGAGGATGCTCCATGTTCCCGTGACTCCAGACGTCGGAGGCACGAGTCCCATCTTCTTCAACTTCAAGAGGGTGCTGGGCCTGTGGTACGTAGACAGTTGCAGGAGGTTGAACACTCCCTTCTGCAGGTGTCCACGAGCAATCATTCTCCATGCGATGCCGCACCACAAGGGCAGAGGGTATGCCAATCGAGACCTCGATGGGCATAGTTTCCTCCAACCTTTCAGAGCTCTCCATGCATGAGGGATCTTGCGGAAGCCATTCTTTCCAAACTCCGGGTGGCGATCCAAGAGCGCCGCCAAAGCATAGTCTCCCACATGACTTCCTTCTCCTTCCGTGAACTTCATCTCGAAGTATTTCACCAGGCCTGTATCCACCTGCTGATCCACTGAAAAGTTGAAGCCGTTCGACTGCAGAAAGGTCATGAGAGCTGACAGGCTTCTGTTGTATCTCTCTCTGACTCTCTTGGTGATTGCCGCCGCTTCCAAAAAACTCATTCCGGTTCCAAGTTGGGCATCCACCAAGTGCTGCAGCGGCTTTCTTGGCCGCTTTTCTAAAGAACGCTTCTTCTTTCCTTTTGGCTCTTCCTTGAGCTCTGACATAGTGCTCGAAGTCTCTGTCTCGAGCTCCTCCTTGTCTTCTCGTTGCCGGCGAGGTTCCAGACTTGACAGTTTCTGCAAGGCTGATTCGGTGAGGGGCAGTGTCAAACCCTTCACCTTCTTCTCCTTCAACCTGTTCTGCCAAAAAGTTTCCATGTCTAGGCACCTCACTCTTTTCTTGTCTGTCGGTGTGGCCTCTAGAGCATCTCTCCCCAAGCTCAACGTCCTCGTCCTTTTCCGCTGCAGCTGTGTGTGTTTGTTTGTCACATGGCTGCTGTCTGAGGTGAGAGACCGAGTCCTCTTCGGCCCCATTTTGCTGTGCGAGGGGTGCTCGAGGGGAAAAAATCGGTTCAACAAAATCATCCAGGAGGTCAACCAACAGCTTCGACGAGTTTTCATCGTGAATCCGAGAAGGCTCATCTGAAATGTTCAACTCACTGGGTATCCAACGTACAGCTACATGGATGTTCCTAGCTAAACAATATGCAGAGAACTCACGGAGGATCCTAAGAAGCTTAAAACTCTTGGATCTACTTCGCTCGAAACACAAGACTACTCCTAAGTTGTCACATAGATGCAGGTGTCGCAAATCATGACCGAATCGAGTGAGCGCCAGCCGTTTGATGCATTTCAAAACAGTTCTAGCTTCTAAAACACCAATCGGCTCAGCATGCTTCCATTTCCCCCAGAATCGAGGAGTCCAAAAACTGCGACCCAAAAAACGAGCAGGAACTTCTTCAAAAGAAGAGTCGACTTCCCATCCAAGTTCGCAGAGTCTTTTTGCAGTCACATGGTCTACTCGACCCCAGGCTGCTCCATCATAGTGAAACCCGGCTGCCGTCAGAGCACTTTCTCGAGCACTATGCCCGGCTGATCTCTTGAACCGAGACCGTTCTTGAACTCGCCCAACCTTGGCGACCACTGTCTTCGGCCACCAAGCGTGACAGCATCCAAAGCCTCCTAAGGAGGAGTCGCTGCTGGTCACATTTCTGTTCCACTGTCGCCACCAGTCTTGACTAAGCAAAAACAGACAACCTCTGAAAGCCTCCAACTCTTTTCGAACAGAAGGCCAGAGAGTGGCAACCTCATTGTACCGAGCATGTATAAAAGCATAGCAAGCACTGAAACAGACCAACGTTCTGCGGTTCATGAGAGAGCAGAAGGTGCAATGTCCCACAACTTTTTCAAGCGCCTGGCCAGAGCAGCGTCCACGCCCAAGCAAGCCCGTCAAAGCTTGATGCACCTTCCAGAGTCTTTTTGGGTTGACAGCACTTTTCAGGTTGCTTCCATCCAGTATGCAGCCCAGCGATTCAATTGCACCACAGCTCACTTCACTTGCATGAAGCTCCAAGCCAAGAGAGTTGAAATGCTGTTGCAGCCCTTGCATAGCTAGTTCCACATTAGCTGCATCAGTGTCAAGCACCCCAAGATTGTCAACGTAAACATAAAAATGTGTATTGTCTGCTTGCTCCTTACCCAACCGCAAAACAACTGGCCCACCTCTGTCCTGTGTCAGAACTGCTTGCTGTAAGGTGTCAACGGATCTGCACACATTTTCGTTGGCCCTCTGTGCGAAATACAAAGACCAAGAGAAACCCTGGCACAGACTGCCAGCGCAAGGGAAGACTGCATCACGCGGCCCCAATAGCTTTCCTTCAAGAGTTGTACCTTCCAGATTCAGAACGCTAGCAGGAACGGATTCCCAAGCGAAATACCTGCTCAGCCACGCAGGCACTCGCATCCGGTGAAAGCAGTCGCGGACGTCGCTGAGCCCAACATATGTTGTGACGGCTGAAAGAAGTTTGTAATCCCCCCAGCAGTCATCTTCAAGCTCAACTTCTATCCGACCAAAACCTTCGGCTGTTGTCAAAGAAACACCCGGAGCTTCTCTAAAGATCTCATTTGTTGGTCTGCAGTCTGTAATCAAGCGCAGCTTCGTTCGGTTTGATTTCCAGACAAAGAACACTCCAACTTTGCTCAAAGGTGCCAAGGTGTACGTGAAGTACCCAATATCGTTCAACTTTCTAACAAGACCATGATACGCTTTCCGGTTGTAGCGCAGCTTTGGGTCCCAGTAAGGTTGAACAGGATGCTCAGGTCTATCCTCCTTTGGCCGCAACATCAGCTCTGAATTCTCCTCCAGGTACTGACGGTCATCAGTAGGCAAGACATCACGAAGGTCAGGACAACCTCGACAGTCCTGCGGAACACTGACAAGCTCAGATTGGTAGGAGGCCACTGCATCATTGATGACGCCCATGTCATAGGGGGAGCCACCACGGAGAAGCACTTTCAAGGCTTCCTCCGGTTTCATGATCTCGTCGCCACTGGGCTTTTGGCTAAAAACCAAACCTTCCACACGCGAGAGAACCTGCTGCTGCATTGCACTAACTGTAAAATCTGATGACTGTGGTTCAGACTCTCCAGCTAGCCAATTCAGCGCTCTGACTACTTCGTTGCAGTTGTCAAAGGCTCGACAAATTCGGTCCCGTCGTTGGCGGACAGAACGACTCGTCCCCAACTTTCGTGGGGGGCATGCAAAAAGGGGCAGAGGAAAAAGCCGTCGTTGCTTGAAGCTGAAGGCCGCCGCTGCACCCGGCTGTGTCATTGCCTCCTGTCTGTACTGGTCATCAGGCAACATCTCCGAAGGCTCCAATGTCACCTGCCGTGAATCCTCAACCATCAGTCTGCCCCTGCCCTCCCTTGCCACCCTTCCGTTTCGGATTGGGTTTGGGGGCTGGCTTTGTGGGCAGTGACTCTGCTGCATCTCCTTCTTCCTGGGCAATGGCAGGAGCCCCTCTGAGCTCCCTCACCTTTTGGCGAGCTTGCAACAATTCCAGCTCCTCCTTGTTCTTGCGAGTGGCATAGTTCCGGAACGTTGGCGATACAATGTCCTCTGGAGTGCCTTGCCCTGCAAAAATCTTTGCGTTCTCCCATGAAGGACGGCTGGGATTGCTGTAAGCATCAACAATCGCCTGAATGCGGCGACACACCACCTCCATGGACATGAGGGCTGGAATGTTGACCTGGTCAAAAGTGCCTGCAAAAAACAATGCATCCACCAAAACTTTCATCTCATGAAAAGTCCTGTCAGTGGTCTCAATGTGTTTGCTGCGACACCAGAGTTGCATCCACAAACGAGGGTCCCCACCATGTCGCTCTGCATGCTTGATCAAGTGAAGACCAGTCGTTGGCCCTTCGAGGGGAGTTTGGTCAAAAGACGGTGTGTAGCTCTCCTTGCAGACATCCCTCCACCTCTTGTACCGGTCACCATGCTCATCAAAGTCTACCCAAAGAGTGCGGACGTCATTTGAACCTGCAGTCTCTCCACCAGCTTCATCGTCCCCACCTCCCTTCCCAGGTTGTGGGCACTCGCCAGAACCAGCGGCTGAGGAAACACCAAACAAAGCTCTCCTCCTGTCTGCATAGCCCTCAACTTCAGAGAGCTTCACCATGTCAACTTTCACCCAAACTCCTTTTCTCAGAGCTAAGGCACAGCTGGTGCCTACCTGCACGTCTGTCTCACTATTCAAGCTCACCTCCTGACCGAGAATCAATCCTCCAAGAGGTTCTGCTGCCAGCCAAACAAAGTCACCCAGGGCAGGCTGTACCTTCACGGCATTCTTTGGGGAGTCACTTGACTTGTCGAGCTTGCCAATTGGGGTTGGCTGTCGGCTCCTCACAAAGCTTCCACCAAAAAACTCTTCCAGTGTCTTCCGCTGTCCAGCATGGTTCACTATGTGAGTCGGCAAGGCCACACTGCACCCTGCCTCTCTTTCAGCCAACTTCACGCTGTCACGAAAAAACCTGCTTGATCAAGGTGTCTGAGATGATCTCTCGGAAACGGTAAGCCGGAGCTCGGAGCCTACTGGGCAGTCCAAGGTCTGGCTTGAGGCCTCTCAATCTGATTGGACCTTCAAGCCCCTTGCAACCTATGCTCTCAATATACAGGTCTTTGTCTGGTGTATACATCACCACCTGCTCCCCACCCAGCACTAGTCCGATGAGGGCTTCATGCCAAACATGGTCATCACTATACCAAAGCAAAACTCTACTGCCACTAGTCAGATTGCGATAGCACTCCTCCTCCACGTCGCCGACCCCCTCCAAACTCAGATCTGCCATCTCCCGGCACCACCGCTTTGGAGAAGCGGATACCTAATAACAGACCAGTTCCAAACACCACCAGCGTACCAACACAGGCAATGCCGAGAAACCGAGGGCTGACTTCAGGGGCTTCGCAAGAACACTGACAGTCACACTCCGGCACAACGATGGTTGACTCTGGAATCCCCTTACGGTTCTGATCTCTCAAAAGCACCGCAAGGATCTGGACCGCAAGGGCCCCCCAGAGTCTCATGGCATTTCATGTGAAGCGATCCCTTGAGATGGATGGCCACGACACCGCGACGGGATCGGCAACAATCTCGTGTGACACACTAACATG